CTAACTTGAATTTAAATTTAAGAAAAGAATAAAAAGTTATTCTGCATGCCAGGGGCCAGACCAGCTCCTTACTTCTTTATTTTGTAACATTCCTGCTAAATATCCTAACCCATTACTACCACTGTGTCTTATATTCAAAGCTGCTTACATGCTGGGAAAATGCCAGAGGGACAAGTATGTTTCCGACTATTATTCAACATCTATGTTCTCACCATTCTACTCAAGCTCCACTGGCTCCTCAACATTATTGGTCAGTATTGTTTCCAGATCATTCTATATGCTGTCTTTTCCTTACTTCCTTTCTTTGCTTTGCCTGTTCACATCTGATTTCTGCTTCATAGCTTGGCAGCTCAAGTTCTACATTCTCCTTCAAAACTTCTTCATCTATTCTAGGTCCAACCAATCTTACTTCTTTACCATGTCATGTTGAATTTAGATTCAGTATCTCTAAGTTAGGCAGATAATTTTCAATTATCCTTTCACAAATTTGTTGTTTTCTTAAGTAGATTTTATAGCTATTGAGGGCAGAGATTTTCTATTTTACAATCTGTTTCATTATAAGTGTTTGTGTACCATGAATACCACATTAGCAATTGGTAAATAGGAGAATTATGTCAAAATAAGGTGGAAGTCCAGTTGGTTTACATGAGAATTTTCTTAGCACTTTAAGTTTTGAGGTGATGAGGAACAAGCTTTCTCACAATTAAGCTTAAGCCCTAACGATATATGAAGACTTTTAGAAAAAAAAGAAGAATCTTGCACCAGACTCTGCCCTTTCAGTATGACTGGTTTAGTGGTTTCAACAACCTGTAAGTTCCTTGCATTAAACTATCTGGTGAAACTGTGATTACTGATAATGATGTTGTAAAGAAATTTTACCACGTTTTTGAAAAAGTTAGGTACTCTTCATTTAGATTTTTTAAAAAAGATTTATTCATTTGAGAGAGAGAGAGAGAGAGAGAGCGCTATTACAAGTGGGAGGGGCAGAGGGAGAGGAAGAGAGAGAACCTCCAGCAGATTCCTTGTGGAGCCCAATTTTAGGCTGGATCTCAGGACCAAGAGATCTCGAACAGAGCCAAAACCAAGTCAGAAGCTTTACTGACTATGCCACTCAGGTGCTCCTCAACTAGATTTTAATTCTGATGAAGATAATATCTTAAAAGTGAATGCCCTTGAGGATCCACATCAGGAAGGAGGAAGCATGACGGCTACTAAGCACTGAGGGTTGTGATGCTGGAGCAAATGCCAGTGGAGATTTAACCTCGTTAATGTTTTTATTAAAATGGTTATTGTTTTCATTAGTCCTCTGATTATAAAGCTGCATTGGTTTTAAGTGATCTTCCCTAACCATGTTTCCATAGAATCCCTGTTCTTCTCAGTGTGCAATTCTATAGAACAGGAAATTCTTCAGGAAGACATATATGACATTATAGCAGAATGTTTGGTATTTTTTTTTCTGCATGGCATCTATTTTGGTGTTGGCACATAGTATATGCTTGATAAATACTTGCCTACTCTTAGACAAACTTTATATCACAAATGTTTTTCCACGACCCTAATGGTGGTTGTGTCTCATTTTTGTCTAATCCATGTTTCCTTTCATTTCTCTATTAATGACCCAGATGGTTTAGAAGAGAACATTCATCCAAAGGGAGACACAGAAAGCAAGAGGGATACTATGAGGCTTATCAGAAACCTCTGGGGTAACAAATGACTCTGAGGTCAATTTGAAGAAAGACAGAGCCTAGCAGCCTTTTATCTTTCTTTTCTTCTAGGGCTCAGTTTTTAATGTTAACTGGGTGCTAAACTCTTGAGAAGCCAGAGGGAGACATCATGAGGTCAGCGAGTCTAACATAAACTTTTGATATCCTGATGTTAGTAGCCTCCTTCTTTTTTCAGCATGAAAGAAAAGATGTTTCTACATCCACCAAGCTATATGTGTGTCCCAGGAAGGTAAAAATAAAGGAATGTAGGTGCAATTAGATCAGCCCTAGGACTGTATTGGTGAAGTGCCTGGTTCATAATCAGTGGACAAATCCTTATAGGACAGCAGTGGTTTTTTTCATGTGTTAGCCTCCAAGAGAGACCACTGACCCTGATGTAGGGAGGAAGGGTGTTTGCTTAATTACTGTTTACATTAACTAAAGCAAAATGCTAAAAAACAAACATCAAGAATGAAGATGGGGCTGAGATAATCATAGTAAAGTCAAATGTAAGCCATATCAGGAAGAGACTTCTTCAGTTCTTGCAGTAAAGATTATGCATCTTTTACACATACCTCTAACTGGATTTAAAATGAAGCTTCACTTGATCTGAGGAGAGTGAAACTCAACTTTATATTCAAAATGTCAATACATTTTCAAGTCTATATACACACTACAAACAGAAGTCATTTGCATTACAACACATTCTCCCTTTTAAAACCACACCAATGAGACCTACACATCCTTCATGATCTGGAAACTGCTTATCTGTTCTACTTCTCTTGGCAACAGAAGCCTTTTCCCCTAGATGTCCTCAATTTCTTAACCATAGGGTTGCTGCACATGCTATTGTCTTTTCCTTGGCCCAAAATGCTCTTCACTCTCTTTGCATTGTGATTGCTCAACACAGTTTTGTTTAATATGCTTTCCAATAGCCTGAAAGCCCTATAAGAGCAAGCCACATGTCTTGTTCACTATTGTATCTACAATGCCTAGCACAGTACCTAACAGTAGGCTGTCAACAAATACGAACTTTAATTATATCCTTAAGACTTAGCTCAAACATCATTCTCTTTGGGAAGGCATCTTGGAACCTTGAAATTCTGGTGGTTTACTTCCCTCATGTACCTTAAGAGCTCCCTGCTCATATCTGTTGTATTGAAGTGCATGCAGTTCTTTAATGGTCTGTCTCTCCCAGTAGACTATGAGGTTCTAAAGGGCAGAAAGTCTGTTCACTTCATTCTTCTTTTAATCAAATCACTCTGTATAGCACCTGGTATACCTTAAGGAGCTTAATAAATACCCACGGAGCAGATTACTGAGCCATGTTTGAGTTTGGAGGATTCTCACCCATATCCACATCTCTTAAACAGGAAATTAGATGAAAGCATTGGATAAATAGATCATGTCTTTCTGTAGCATGCATTTTTACTTAATTTTTCAGGAGGGGAAACATTTAATAATTTAAATAACATATGGTTGTGTGCATGTAGTGAGTCTTATTCAAAATATACATCAAATTTCAAGACAGAAACTTTGGCCAAGCAAATTTACCTTAGGGTTCCTTGTTCATCCTGTCTGAGAGCATGTATTTCCTCTTCTGTGCTATTTTTGGGTAGTATACCACCTGCATGCTTAAAAAGAAAGTTAGTGACAATGACAAAGCCAGGATTAAAACTGTTTTTAGATATATAGGGTTCTTTTCACTCTACTCTTCCAGTTAATTGCCTTATCATATCTATAGCATGGTCAAATTTATCCTATTGCTCTTTCAATCAATATGCTCATAAAGCAATTAGATTCAGCATAACTGAATTTAGGTTGAAGGGGAGGGCAAAAGAAATCATAGCTTGAAGATATCTGGATAACAGGCATATGGACATGTTAATAGTATCTGAGTTTACATTTCAGGCTTCTCTAGCATATGTGTTCTTATTCTATGATGGTTGTTCATTTGAATCCTGCACTCCTCTGTAATGTTCTCAGTGTAAACACTATTTTTAGAAGGCCCTGTTTAGAAAAGATGTTAGAAATATAGCATGGGCCTCTTCCTGACAATTCAAGCACTAACGACTAATAATGCTTACAGTACCTGCAGCTGCTGCACAAAAATACCTAGCATTTGTCTAGAGATTTACATTTTAATTTTTTTTTAAATTTTTATTTATTTTATGATAGTCACACAGAGAGAGAGAGAGAGAGAAAGAGGCAGAGACATAGGCAGAGGGAGAAGCAGGCTCCATGCACCGGGAGCCCTATGTGGGATTCCATCCGGGGTCTCCAGAATCGCGCCCTGGGCCAAAGGCAGGCGCCAATCCGCTGCGCCACCCAGGGATCCCGAGATTTACATTTTTTTTTTTAAAGGTTTTATTTATTTATTCAGAGACACAGAGGGAGAGAGGCAGAGACACAGGGAGAGGGAGAAGCAGGCTCCATGCAGGGAGCCCGATGCGGGACTCAATCCAGGGTCTCCAGGATCACACCCCAGGCTGCAGGCAGCGCCAAACTGCTGCGCCACCAGGGCTGCCCTCGAGATTTACATTTTAAACAAAGCATTGACACACATGATCTTTCTCCCAACCCTGAACCTAAACTAGTTCCAGAAACTGAAAATAGCACTCAATCCAATTGCTAACTCTCTATAGGTGCTTTGGTTAAAGAGCCTTAACTGCTTCTCTTCCCCCAAGATTAAGTAGTGGATGCCTGCTGCTTCTATTACCCAGCAGCATGGGAATAAAGGTACAATTGTATTTCTTTGATCGCAAAGCAATCATTGCAATACAAAGCACCCCCCTTTCCACTTTGACCCATACAATCTGTCCAGGCAATTAATCAGCCTGGTGGTTTTCCTATAGGATGCCAGCTGTCTTGCCAATCCACCCCTCCCACAGAGCTTAGCAGGATCACACCCCCAGAAAGGCCTCTGTGGGGAAGGTGCTGTGGCCTACACTAGTGGAACTGATACTCAGGTAGACCTGCCAGTGACTCACACTTGAATCCGTACGGGCCTCAGTTTCCCCATCTTTAAAATAGGCTACACCTCCTTTCTCTTGACTAGTTCCCTTCCATTTCACGCTAGGCCCCTAAGGAAGTGAAATCCGTGCTTAACAGCAGTTTAAAGTCCTGTCCTTTCTTCCGGCTCCCGTCGCTGCGCTGGGCATGCTCAGTAGCTGGGGCCCGCTTGGCACTGGAAGTAGGAAGCAGCGTTCGGCGCCCGGGCGGCTGACTGCGGGTACTTTGATGAATCACGTGTGTCGAGGCCCTTTTAAAGAGATAGTCACCTACTTTCCCTGCACCCTAAACGCCGCCCTAAGGGCGGCGGCGCCAGCGACCGCGGTTATTGCAGCTGCTCAGGGGCAGGGCTTCCCCCAGCGCCGAGTAGTGGCAACTGCGGCGTGTTGCGTCGTTGGGGGTGCCTGGGAGCCTGGAACCAGCTCCCCAGACAGACACACTCTCACACAGGAAGAGGTGATACCGGATCAGTTGGGGCAGCGGGACCACCCCGAGGGGCTTCCCCAAGTTGAGGAGAGGTGGGGTTACAGGACACAGGTGTTAGGGTCGGAGAAAGATGGAGCAGCCCGGGGCGGCGGCGTCGGGCGCGGGAGGCGGCAGCGAGGAACCCGGTGGGGGCCGGAGCAACAAGCGGAGCTCGGGGAACCGGGCGGTCAACGAAGAGGAAACGAAAAACAAACCCAAATTGGTGAGTGCTCCCGCAGCCCCCGCCGGCCTTGGGGACAGCGAGAGCCCCGGGATCCATCGGCTGTTGGGCACGGAGTGGGGGGGGCCGGGGCCCCTTCCCCTTCCCAAGGCTAACTGCGATCTCGCTGTGCTACTGGGGGAGCCGCTAAAGGAGCGGCCACGCCGAAGCGCGGAGACTGCGTGGGGGCGGAAGAGCACCCCCTTCTCCCCCTTAACCCCTTTCTCTTATTCTGGGAGGCAGAGGGGAAAGGCCCCACCCAACTTGGGGAGACTCCGAGTACTGGGTAGGGTCTGTTGTTTGTCTAACTTGTGGCCACAGATCTTCCCGCGATTCCTTTCCTTCCCACCGCTGTCAGTTGCTGGGTTTTGACTCTTGAACGCTTAGTGTCCGGGCAGGAGAACCTCTCGTTTTCAGTCCAAATACTTAGGAGCCCACTCACAGACTTGCAAACCAGCCCCACCCTAAAAAAAAACCACAGGGCGTAGGCTCCTAGTCTTTTTACTTTACCGAAATCCAAGGAAGAGTCGCCTACGTGCGCTTTTTCCCGTTGCCTCTTCCATGTGCTCTCCCAAGAAACATTTCTTTGTAAGAGTGGGGGAAGCGTGGGAGTTCGAGGCTCCTTGAGATACCACCATCAACCGTTGTGTATATAATAGGCATTCAGTACAGTACTTCCACTTAGTTAAGAACTCTCAAAAGCAGTAAGGCTGCACAAGTTTCATTGCCCTGAAAAGTCTGTGAGCCAGTGGTAGCATTTCCTGCCATTGACTTAATTTCCTGCCACTAATTTAGTGTGCTTAGGAATGTAATCTATAGGGCCTGGTATTAGGTTGGGAAATACTGGAGTTTCAACTCATCAGTTAAAAGGGTTCCTCTTTTTTTTTTTTTTTTTAATATGAAAATGGTTTAATAGTGAAACTTAAAAACTGGTAGCATTAACAGAATATATTGACCATGGCAAATATGCATTCATTTATCAATAAAGTTTATAATTGGTGCTATGAGGGGAAATAGTTTTCCTGCACAATTCAGTTAACACTCCTGTTTGAAGGTTCTTAGACTAAATCTGAAGTACAAGCACATGTTCCGCATCTGGTTTTCAGTTTTAACCAGCAACTTATTTATAATAAGGGGGAGGAGATAGTGACATTACTAAAGCCTTTTCTTGTGGCATCTGATCATTTGGTATGTACCTGTTGCTCTTCTCTCTTGTTCAATTTGCCTTTCAATTATGGATTGTCTGTACTGGAAGACAATGGATGATTAAAGTATTATTTCAGAAAATATACAGATTTCCATTGTGTGGAAAGGGACCTAGTAGGTAGAATAAAATGAACAGTTTAAAGTCTCACCAGTTCTGCCCTAATTTGAGGCAAATTGAGAAGTTGCTTACTTGATGTGTCCCATTAACCAGTATATACAAATGAAGAACCTGCTCTTTGTGAATTGTCTATGCTGGCAGACGGTTAATGGGTTTGATAGGTGTCCCCAGCATCATGAAACATAAAAAGGTTTTATGAGAGTATCACTAGTTATTTAAGAAATCTGATGTGATCTTGAAATTTATGTTTGTGGTAAAAGAGTGATCATGTTTCCTTTTTATTTTTTTGACCTAGTACAAATCTGTGATTTAAACAGTGAGTGAAAGTTTAAGCAAAAATAAAAGTGAACTCAGTGTCCATGAATAGTTTGGTACATCCAGCAAGAACCTTCTACTTTTAGGAGTTGTGCTTTCAAGAAAGCACTTACCTCTGTTAGTATTGACACCTTGATTATATTTTTCCCTTCCCTTTGGTATTTGTCTGTTCCATCTTTTTTGTTTTACTTGCTTTGACAAGGTAGTTAGATCCTTGTGAGATGGTATCATTTTCATTTCCTGGCTAACAATATTCAGTGTTGAACATAGCTTGATATAGTAGAATACTTATTTAAATCCAAGAGTTTGTTAATATCAGTTGGAACTTTCTTTGTTGCTGAAATTAACTTTTGAGCCTTACATGATTTTACAAGTGATGTGTCAGAGTTAATAAAAACACATTTAGGAAGACATTTCAGCACATTTTAAGGAAAGCAAATTGACCAAATGACATGATTTGGGTGGACTTTAAAAAAAAATGCCGCACTCATTATATTAAGTTGTCTTATTGAAGTGCTCAGCATGTTCTTCTGAGGCCGTTTAGGTTGGGGTTCCACTGGGGTTCTTAAAATATTGCCAGTAAGATAAAACTTTACCTAGACTTAATTTTGTTATTTTGAGTATTATGTTATTAATCACTGTAATAGTTCTTAATTGTGTGTGTGTATAAAGGAGCTGTGGTGTGAGATTATAAAAGAGAGCTATATGGTCATAGAAATTATTTGGATAGGTGATTGTGGAGGATAGGGGTTCTTAAACTCCTGAAATCATAAGATTTGAGTGTTTGTGCATTTTTGTGGGTCCCATAGTTTTCATCAATTTCTCAATGGCACCTGTCACCTATAGAAGAATAAGAACTATTGAGTAACCAAAGAGAGAAGAAGGTAAAGGAAATGCCAATTGATTCCACTCCAAGTTACTAGGGAGAGGAGGAGGTCAGTGATGAAGGGAGAAAGGAAATAGTACTGATCACAAAAATGATTGATTATTCATCTGGGAGTAAAAAGAAGTTAATCAGATTATGTCTGTATAATATTAGCTAAGATGAAAGTTTCCTTACATGGAAAAAGTAACAGTAGTTATAGTGGATTCATTACAGTATAAGGCTTGTGATTCACTTCTTTCCATTTTGTTTCTCATTGTTGTGAAAAACTGGAGAAGGAAGGTATGTTTTGTATAGAGACGAACTACTTTAATTCGTATCTTAACCTTTTGATGGATATTAGAATTTTTTCAAAGTGACATTGCAGGACTTTAATGACCTCTGTTTAAGATCAAATCAAAATCTAACAGAACTTGTGATGCCTGGGTGGCTAAGCGGTTGAGCATCTGCCTTAGGCCTAGGGCGTGATCCTGGAAGTCCCAGGAGAGTCCAGTGTAGGGCTCCCTGCATGGAGCCTGCTTCTCTCTCTGCCTGTGTCTCTGCCTCTCTCTCTGTGTCTCTCATGAAAAAAAAAATTAACAGAACTTACTTCAGTTTTCTTTATCTGTGAATCCTCATAATGACCCTTTTTAAATTATTTTTACCGAAAGCAATCTTCTCTGGGCTTCTCACATTTTGAATAATGCGGTAGTAGTAAAGCTTTGTATTTTATGTAACTCTTTGGTTAGGCACAGATTGTAGCATGTCATAAAGCAGAATGAATCTTAGATTAATTATTAGTTTGGTGTCAATCATGGAGTGTATTTTGTCAAATATAGTAGAGCTCTAGAAGTATTATGAAGGAGATGCATCTTGAATCCCACAGATTTAAGTCAATGACTTAACCATTAAAAGAGACTGTTAAAATAAAATGGTGTAGACTGGTTTAACATTCTTAGATGTTTTTGCATTTTGACTTTGTGTTTCTGTATTATTCCTAAGCCTTTGGTTCTTAAGATAGTGGAGTAAAATTAGTAACTTGATGTAACAGAAGTTAATTTTTTGGTTATTGTATAACTTCCTATTTGGTTATTGGTTTTATAATTGGGTAAATTATGTTTTGATTTCAATTGATAAGTTGAGCACAATGAGTTCATTTATACAACAAATATTTAATGAGCACATACTCCATGCTAGGCATTCTGATGGTTGGTGATACAAAGGTGCTCATAGTCTAGTGGGGGAGACAGGGAAGTTAATGATTAAAAGCCGTGTGATAAGGAATCATAGGAATATGCATAAGAGGGTGATATATTGTGGAGCAGCATCTAATTGGATGGTTGAGTGTGACAAGGAAAGGCTTACCATAGTAGATGATAATGCACCAAGGCTTGAAGAATAAGGCATTACTTGAAGAAGGGGAAGGAAAGGCATTTTTAAGTTTAAAGAACATCTGCAAAAGTTGAGAGATATGGTAACATGCCTAATAAAGGAACTATGCATAGATTTTAATGGCTGAAACAAAGGATACACATGGTGGACCTGAGAGAAGAGACAGAGAGTCCAGATCATGATGGATACATGTATGCTATTTTAAGAGTTTCAACTTTTTTATGCAAGCCATAATAGGCCATTGAAGAAACTTAAGCAGGATACTGGCCTGATCAGAATTGTGTGTGTGTGTTTTTTTTTAAGATTTTATTTATTTATTTGACAAAGAGCACAAGCAAGGGGAAAGGCTGAGGAGAAAGGAGCAGACTCCCCACTGGGCAGGGAGCCTGATGCAGGACTTGATCTCAGGATCCTGGGATCATGACCTGAGCCAAAGGCAGATGCTTAACCGGTGCCCTAGACTTGTATTTTATTTTTTACTTTATTGTTTACTTCATTTATTCATTCGTGAGAGACACAGAGAGGCAGAAACACAGGCAGAGGGAGAAGCAGGATCCTTGAGGCAGCACAATGCGGGACTCCATCTTGGGACTCTGGGACCATGACCTGAGCCAAAGGCAGACACCCAACTGAGCCACCCAGGTGTCTCTAGGCTTATATTTTAGAAAGAAAAATACAATGGAGAATTTCTTGGAGAGGGGTACCAGAATGGAGGCAAGAAGTCCGTTAGGAGGAACAGAGTGGCATAAAAGAGTTTGATGTTTAGAGACCTGGATTCTTGTTGCAGCTCATCTACTCATCCATTTACTAGTTTGTGTATTTACTTGGCGTATTTCTCTGCATTTCACTTTCCTCCTGCCACTCTCTTGCCTCACCTTCTTGCCACCCATGCTGAACATCTTCACCAAATTTGAAATATCCATCTTGTTTCTCCTTTATAAATCTCACCTGCCTTGCACAGCCCAGCTTGTGTCTCAGAAATCCCCTCCTTCTTTCATTAAAAACTCCACTGATTAATTCAGCTTACAAAGGCTCTTTTTTATTCTGAACTCATAACTATTGTGAATCTGAATGTTACATGATGATCTTATATCTACAGAGATTATAAGG